CAGATCATCTTCAGCACTCCAGCAACATCTTCACTTCCGTCGAGACGGTCACCCTCATCAGCTACATCGTCAGCATCTGCTCCTACCTAGGCTTCTCACCTGATTACTTGTCATTATTTTGTTAGTGGAGGTTTCCACGTTTGCATGTCGTTTTTTTGATTTGTTTGAATTTTTATTAGTTTGAATAAAGTTGTTTATCTGTAGTGTTTCAGTTCATTTTGTTTGTAGGCTGGCTGCATGTTGCCTCCTGGCAGTTGGTTGGTTTCTGAAGAAGTTTATTAAGTGAACGATAATAATTAAGCTGAAGACACATTTTTGTGTGATTAAAACAGACTAACGTAATAATATTAAAAATAAATGAAATGATATAATGGGAAGAAACTGACTCCCAGATGATGAAACACCAAGTAACATTTAATAGGCATGTTTTTTTCTTCTAAATGCACTTGAAGTTCTTTCTAATTTTACGCTTTGCAGCCAAATATTTCAAATTTTCATTATTTCAACAGTTCAATATTATCAAAATTCAAAATATAGTTTATGGTTCAAAATATGCCATTCACTAACTATAGCGAAAGGAGAGTTAAAAAATTGCGTGGAGGCCTCTGGCCTGGTTCCGATACACATACTCACAAACACTCACACAAACAGTACACACACAAACATACGTACTCAAGTAAATGTAAAACAATAACAACACTTTAAATGCACCTCTGTGGTGAATGTACAGTCGGGCAATCAAAAATCAAATAATATTTTCATAACTTATTCCCAATGGCGGCTAATATAAAGAAAATCTTCGAAGCACTTAACTTAATTGTTCAAAATGTTCTTACCTATGCCAAGGTCACTTCTTTCTGACCAGCGGTAACATTACTCACTAACTTCTACTTTCCCGCGACAACCTACATGTAGGCATTCGTTTATAACTTCACTGCTGAAAAGTTTTCGTTGGATTTCAAATAAATCATCACCAACTCCGGTGGAAACTTCGGACATGCAAGGGATGAAACGATGGAAATAAAATTATGGATTAGTTGCATTAAGTTGAAGTAAAAATAAAGTTTCATGAAAAAAATATCGGTGACAATATGTGGAAACAGAATAAATAAAGTTTTAAATATAAAGTAATAAATTAAAATAAAATAATTAAAAATAAAACTTAACAATATTAATTTCATATACAAAATGAAGCAAAAAGCAAAGGAAAAAAAGCAGCATACAATCAAAGCCAACCACATTGTACATGTATATGTACAGTTCGTTCGTACATACCGACACGACATACAGACATATGCACAGGGCAGCATCGTACATTCACTCCTGCAAATATGGCATTAAACAAAAAGATCATAACATTCAAGAACAAATATAAAATACATAACTACAACAAATAATTTGAAAAAATCATCACCTGGTCCGCCATTTGGTTGATACAATCGCTACTTAGAGCTGCAACTCACAACTGCATTGGGAAAAAATGTGTGTGTGTGTGTATGTTTGTGTGCGTTCTTGTGAGATTGTTTCTATGTCTGTTTGTAATTTATCTCTACACCATCACCATCTATCTATTCATTAATTTATTCCTTCGTCAATCCATCTATCCATCCTCCATCCATCCATTCTTCCATCTATTACTAAAGTCTATGAGACATGCATGCATCATAAAATCATCATCTTGAATCATCATCTTTGCTCGTCAATCCATCTATCCATCCATCCATCCATCCTCCATCCATTCTTCCATCTATTACTAAAGTCTATGAGACATGCATGCATCATAAAATCATCATCTTGAATCATCATCTTTGCTCATCAATATTCAAACATTAATTTATCTCTAAAATATATTGAAAATATTACGTCAATTTTTTAAACTTATTTGTCACAAACGCCTTCAACATTTTGCAAACAAATGTACACAAGGAATCACAAAGACATATTGTAGCAACTCACTGCATGATAGCAGCAAGTACTTTGGTAAAAGTGTTCATTAGGTGGTTGACATGAGTTCAGTAGTGCGGTTTGTTTTCAGGTCCGGATGGTCCGTTGAATTACGATTAGTGTAGATATTGTATGGAAACTAATTATTGATTGGTTGGATAACACTAAAAAACCAAAACCCGAATGCAATTTACTAATTGTTAATAACTAGATGAATCTTCATCGATAAGCATGACCAACTTGGAAAATGATTGCTTCCTGTGATGAGACGAGAAAGCTGAACAACCAGATGGAACCGATTACCATCCTGGCTCTTTTCTGTCATATGTTGAGTGAGTGGCTTGTGTTATTTGGTTAAATCCTATTTGTCGGGGTTAGCTGCTATTTGTTGCGGTTAAATGTTATATTATTTTGATTTAAATAATCTTGTTAATAATAATTGTTATAATATTCAATTATAATAAATAAAATAAAAAATGTCCGATCGATTGAATGTATTGATTTATTAATAACTAAAAGTGAAACAATATCACCGGTTAATTCAAAAATGCTGATTTATAAGTGTCTGCTTCGATTTTTCAGTTACCTATAAATATGCAAACTAAAACTTGTTTCTCTTCACATGTCAATCTTAACCATCTTTTATTACATGCACGTGTTTATTCGCGTGCTGAAAGTCTATCTTATGTTTGTATGTTTTTTATTGAACGATTCATCTCAGCAGACCTCAATGAACTGACAATCACGAACTTCCCAGAATAAAATCATTACAACACTTCGTTAATTGAAAAAATAAAAAAAAATTTATAAAATATTGCAAGTAGAAGATGATGGACAACAAAATGACTAAAGGGTATTACCGATTTTATAGGCTATAGGATTTGAAAATTTTACACAAAAAACATTACTTATTCAACAAGTTTTTATACTTACTCGTACTTGCATTACTTATATTTAAAGTTTAACACACATTCATGCACTCAAGAAATGAGCATGAATTTGGAGTTACACGCAGGCATCTATTTCAAAGTACTCTTTTTCGTGCTAATTTTTTGCATAAATATCTCGTAAATTTAAAAAAAGACTATAAGAACTGCTATATACAATGATTTATATACATTTTATTTCAAAGTCTGGTCAAGCCTAGTTGCAAACCCTGTCCAACACATACATAAAGGTTTTGGTATGGACGAAATAAATATTTTGCCATTTTATTTATTAATCTGACCGAAATTAGCACTCATGCAATTGTGGTCAGAGAAATCTAGATGAAGATGTACTAAGGATGAAAACTGAACAAAAATGATAATTACTTTTAAAAAATGTTAACTTGTCCATTTAATCCAATCATTATTCTAAATCAATAATTCAAATATAATCTTTTAGAAAAATTTTATTTAAAAAATTTCGAAATTTTATTGTTATATATTTCTGTTGTTTAGATAAAAATTATTTTTTAAAATCAAAACAATACGAGAACTATCTTGAATGAATTAAAAGGAAGTCCATTTCTGTAAAAAGCATTCGAAGCAAGCAACAAAGCAATAACAATCAGATCATCGGTAAAACGATAAAACTTTGTCAGATCAAAAGAAATGCTAACATTTGAAATTAGATTTATGTCGATTTCGGTAAAATCGTTATAAATTGTATAATAGCAAAGTGAGTGTTAAACGTTCTTGCAAAGTAGGAAACTACCTCCAGCCTTCAAAGTCTTTACAATTCCTTTGTAACGTACTAGCCTTGATGGAATTTGTATATATTGTCGAGTTGAATCAATAAACTTACCGAGTCGGGAAATAATGAACATTGAGTGTAAGTTTTTAGAAAACATATTTTCGTTGATACAAACTTGCTATACAAACTTTAAAATGGATTCAACTGCAGCATCATTCGCCGAAGCCAATGATATAAGAAGGTTCGCCGGGGAAGCATTTTCTAAGCACAATGAGAATTACGACAAATTTTCAGTTTCGTTTCAAGAGGAAATGTACAAAACATTTTTAAAGAAGATGGCTACCTGGCTTAAAAGGAAGACTTCCTGTCTAATGTGCCGCAAAGATGTTGTGTTCTTCTGCAAAAAGAAATATTCATACAAAGCCAAGCTGAACATGAATAATGGATGCCTTGAGATATCTCTCTTATTAACCTATGACGTTCGTTATTATTAACATTTCATTGCGAAATCTAACTCATTCCAGTGAAGCATCTTTTAAACTTTAACACATCGCGATTATGTTTTCAATATTTTATCACAAACCTGATAAGACAATTAGCTATTGAAAGACATTGTATGAATGAAAATCATGTTATCATTCATAATTTAATTATAAACTTCAGTGTCTGTTTTTAGAACAGTTAATTTATAATAAATTAAAATAGCGTTTCTCTCAGCATTTTATATTATAGATATAACTATCCTAACTATCTCGAAAAATATTAATTACCAACAAATATAAAACATTCTTGTACAGCATCATATTCTACTATTTATTAAATTTGCATTTAAAATTGTTGCACCGTAGATTATAACAGAACTGGTGATAACCGCAAAATCATTTACTATTTCATTTCATATTTTTAAAACTATTTAATAAATTAGGAATGGAGCATATTATACTTTGAATTTTACTCTAATTTTAAATAAGCAAACTTCGTTGAATAAATGTTTGTTAACTAAAAACAAAATGTAAACATCAATTTTTTGTTAAAATATTGTTTTATTGATCTTATAAGTATTAATAATCGTTTCCTTTATACAAGCAGTAAAATTTCGTAGATAAAAATAATATTTTTAAGTAGTAAAATTCATTCACATCAGTTCATTTAGCTCTTTGTTTCCTCAGTAAATGCTGGTTATAAATTTTCCCAAAAAAAAAAAATTTTCTTTGAAAAGGAAATTGTTTTATTTAAACTGTTTGGCTGCTATGTTTGTTTTGCCTTTAAACCTTTTAAATGGTAATTTATTTAAATTTTCTAATTACAGCCACATTACACCCAAAATATATACTCATTTTATAATAAAAAACACATTAAAAGATGCTATCAGATATAAAAATATTAATTTTTGTATGTCAAAAGCTTTATTGAATAAAAGGTGAGTGCCTGAATTCGTTTGAAGTGGCCTTTCCTATTGACAGCACCAGTTCGGAGGTGGTTTTGCATCTAGAACTTTCTAATCAGGTGTATCTAGATGAATTTTTAATCGAAAATTACTTTATATAAAAAATATTAAAAATAAAAATGTCCACATAAATAATGTTTTTTTTTATATTTTGATAATTTAGATGGCAGACCACTGCTATTGGAATGATAACGAGATAACTGCCCGTTTCAGAAATCAGTCTGTCAATAATATTGACATGATTGTAAGATGATCAAACTAATTAATTAATTATTCATTCAACTAACTAATTGTTTTATTTCTTTTATTGTGTTTTCACATACATGTAATTTTCAGACAAATTGGTCAATTACTATTTTGTTTCAGCAATTTCAAACTTTTTTATTTTTTTCACATAAACACAAGTTGCAAACGTTAGATTCTTGAAAAATTACCAATTGTCTATTATTTCCGAAAGTTAAAATTTTCAAAATTTCAGTGCGGAGTGTTTAAATATCGAGGTAAATTTTACGTGGTGAGGCCTAAACTGTTCATAAACGCCTGTGCTGGTTTCCTATCCATGCATGCTGGCGTAAGATACATTGTCCGTGAATGGATTGGTAAAATGCATATTTTATATGTTATACACTGTCAATTCATGCTTATTTATACCTCAACTAATTATAATTATTTATATGTTATGCATAACTTACTATTTTGTCCATATATACTTAGTTCTGTTGTAAATTTTATACGCTTTTACATATAAATATATATAGGTTAGGGTTAGAGTTTGGTTCTTATAACGATTGATGATAACTAGACAGCACATGTGTATATAAATAATGATTTTTAATTTCAACTTTTAGACAGTTTAATATTAATTAATTAATTAATTTATTTATTTAATTAACAACAACAGTTTCATGTGCAAGTTCAATAGAAGTGACATTTCCACTTGACAAGAACGGCATGCAATTTACTCTCAACCTGTATCACAGGAGCATTCCTCAGACTATCGTAACAAAAGAATAATGAAATAATTTTTTAAAATTAAGAAACAATTAATTATTCGTCTTATTTATTCTATTTTTAAAAAGTATAAATAAAATTCAAAATAATTTCACAAGAGGAACAAGTGCCTTTACATGAAAGATTTGAACAACAGAATATATCTGGTGGATGATTTATTTATTGAAGGAAAGAAATCAATAGTAAACATTATTTTTATTATATTTTTTTATTATAACTAAAAATAATAATTAATTATAATTATTCATTTGATATATAAGCACACATGTATCAACATGAACGAGCCATACCTATAGTTTGTAACAGGCGAATCTGCGATTGAACCCGCTCACAGCAGCAGAGCGTCTTTAAATATTAAGTCATTTTGCAGCAATATTATAAAGATTTAACTAGTAGTAAGTATTATTATTAATAAATTACTAATGAGTAAATTGAGTATTTGAAACAATTGTAGACAGGTGTATTCACTCATATGAATGATACTTATTGGGTCATACCCAAAATGAAGAACCATAGTATCTCATCAAATGAAGTCCTATTTACTTACCTCGGATATAAGTATTTAATCGCTAAAAGTAATTGTCTTTGTATTTACTTTTTAATTTTTGTAAAGGCTTTACTCTTTTTTTCCAATTTTGAATAAATTTCATAAATTATCTATTTGTATGCAAGTTCTTCTAAAGAAATCTACATCTACAATGTTAATATAAAAGCTTTTCATTACATGATACATTAGTGAAATGACACACTCAATATTTAAATGTCTTATATATATATATACGGTTTTTAAAATAGTCTTACTCTTAATTTTTTCAACTTTTCCTAAGTTTTCATTTCTAAAGTTTTAATTTTTTACCAAAGTTACTTCAATTTTTTAATTTATTAATTCCCGACAGTGAATTTATAAAATGCTAATGTGAAACATTTTTGGACAATATGAAGAAATATGTACAAAGAAAAAAAGCAGTAAAAAAATGGAAATAATGTTTGGCCGTCATAAAGGATAAAACCAAACTAAATAATGTTAATTTCAATTTACTCTATAATGATTGCTTTGTATAATGTTGCTTCACGAAATTCATTGCATTTACTGTTAAATGAATTTAAGAGATGTTTTCGGCAATGTAAAATGAAGCGGTTTGTTTAGTTTTTTGTTTGTTATTAAAACTATGTGATATGGTCAATTGGTTTTCTATACACATTACGCGATGCATCGTTAATGTATTAAAGTGACTGAATAACAGCGTACTCGATTTTAACTAATTTTTTCTTTTAATTTTCTGTCATCTGATGATTATTTTCTAAAATTATTAAGTAATTGAAACGAATGGCCAGTGGTTTTAGTATTGGATAACATTATTTTATCAATTTTTTGCTGGCTTGTTAGTGGCTCTCTGATTCAAAAACATGAATAGAAACAAATAATAAGCACGAACCTTCTACATGCGAGCCTAAGTGTCAAACAAATTTTTCAAGGCAGGAGGATTAGGAAAGCACTGTGTTTTCTAAATACAAATCATGACATGTAACAAAAATTAATAAAATAACAAGAAAAAATGTCCTCGAGACATTTTTTCGAACAAGCAGAACCGGGAGACATCAACGACTTTTTTGTTGGCTTCTGCGTCGAGGTGCAAAAAATGCTGGGGAAGCCTGATTTAGATATGAAACATGAAGATCTGTACTTAGACAACAGAAAATTATTCAAAATTATTATTGTAAAAATTATTAATAGGCATTGTGTGCACATTTTAAAACTAGTGTACTTTAATGACTATTTACGAAAATACGTTTACATTATAATAGTTGTATTCTTAAAAGGGAATATAGAAGTGACGATGATGATGAAAGATGCTACTCGCCTTATGTTTTTCTTGTTTATATTATACTCTTTTTTTGCTACTATTAAATCAAAACGGTCAAAAAAAATAAAATTATATGCGTGTACATGAGGTCACATTAGATCGTTCATAATTTCTTCCGAGACGTTTTTTAAGTTTATTTAAAGTTGTTGACCTAACATTCGCGCTGACTTTACATTTGTTTGTTCAGCAGCAAAACAAATTTTCAAACATCGCTTCATCGAACCAATATTATCAATGAACCAATAGAGGCAAACGTTCACTTGTTACTCTATGAAAATGTTATTTTATTAATATTAAAAATTCAGTATATATCGTTTAAAACGCATTTTAATGAATAAAAATTATTATAATTTTGTTTGAAAATTTAATTGAAATTATTTGAAATATCAAACTGTATTGAGATGCGTGCGACATACCTGCTGGCATTGGCCCAATTATGCATTATGCACAGCTCCTCATCCAACGGTTTATTTATTTAAAATTAAACTTAATAATTTTATCTTTAGCATTTAATTCTTTTGTTATGTTGGATTTCTTAAATAATGATCTATGTTAGCCAAGGTTTTTTGAACTCCTTTTATTTTAATGAGCAATGTTATATGTAGTTGTACTTGGCATCTATGTAGTCTTGAAGGGCTTAAGTCGTACTTGTTGCTTCGAACCCAGTAGCTGGTCATTCATTAATTAATAAATCATGACATTAACGATATGACATGCGTGTCAGAAGTATGGATCGCTTTGCGTTCGAAGCCAGTCACTGCACTGCCAGGATCAAATGTACTTCACGCTTAACCGTTTCACTGCCCAGATAACGTTTGTGTCATTAGCTTTATAAATCTTAAGCTGATGTTATTTAATGTTTTAAAAACATTTTTCATAATTATTTTTATTTCGAAATTATTCTGAAACGATAGCTGGATGCCAGAAATCAATCCAAACCGAATTCCCGACGGATTACGAAACAAGTTTGGTTCCATTGAATCTCCAACTTATTTATCAGGTAAAAACTTTTGAACACACACACTCATTCACACACCTACACACACACGCCCACACCTACACACACACACGCACACACACATGTATGTAAATCATTTTTTACTACAGACGGCAAAACATTGCTACTGGAAAGATGAAAAATCGTTCGCAAGTTTTAGAGGTGAAGTAAATGATAGCAGGAGTCCTGGTTAATGATTTCTTTTTTTTTCTATTGAATAAAACAATTTTTCATTCATTCAATCAATCAATCAAGCAATTAATCAATCAACCAGCCAACCAATCAATCAATCAACTAGCCAAACAATCAATCAATTTTGAAAATTTTCAGACCGGTGTATTCAGATACGATGGTAAGTACTTCAGTGTTAGGCCTAGATCACTCGTTAAGACGTGCCATGGTTTCCATACAAAATTCAGTGGTGTCAGATACACTGTGCAAGAATGGAAAGGTGAGAAATTATATTATGAAATTATAATATAATCTATAATAAATAATATATATATATATATATATATATATATATAGGCAATATACAATATGTACATATTAGATTTTTATACTCTACGTTCAATTTTTTAACTGAAATGTCCCCAATAATCCTATAATCCTTTGTGTGTGTGTGTGTTTGTTTGTGAGTGTGTTTATGTGTGTGTGTTTGTGTGTGTGTGTGTTTGTGTGTGTGTGTGTTTGTTTGTGTGTGTTTGTTTGTGTGTGTTTGTTTGTGCGTGTGTGTTTGTTTGTGAGTATGTTTGTTTGTGTGTTTGTTTGTGTGTGTGTGTTTGTTTGTGTGTTTGTTTGTGTGTTTGTTGTGTGTGAGTTTGGGTTTGCGTTTGTGTGTGTGTTGTTATATCTTCAAAAATTAATTAAGAGAGAATTAACAATAGTGATTAAAAAAATTATATTTAATCATTTAATTAAAAAATGTATAATTAAAAATTATCCATTCACAGTACAATGTGACGAGTCACTGACCCTGACACTGCCAATCACGAATGAGGACGATGACGGTGACAATAACGTGACACTCGAACTCAAACACATATTTAACCCTCTGGCAATGGTGGTGATTTTGAAATAAAAATCATTTTACATTCAGTCTTTTCACACTGCCATATCTTAATCAATCATCTAAACTGCTAAGATCTAATTAATCAATTAATTAATTAATTAACTAACTATCTAAACTAACAAACGTCAATTTCTTTCGCGTTGTTGTGATAAAAAATGTTTCGTTGCAGCCAGGTACATGTATCAATAAAGAAGGAAACCACAGCAGAATACTTCTTTCGAGTGATCTGTACGTTGATGGGGTCAAAACTTTGGTAGGTGGGACACTTTTTTGAGAATTTTCAGTTCTAGTATGATGGCCAAACAGTCTGACACTGCTATCGAGTGTTAAGAGGTCCGGTCCTCGCTTGCCCGTTCACGTGTGTGCGATGCACTGATCTACGAGTATTCACATGTGTGTCGTTAGGTTTTTCAGGTTTATCTAGGAAGGAGTTGTAAAGAATTAAATTAAATTAATTAATTAAATTAATTGACTAAATAAACTAATTAATTCAATTAGTTAATTAAAAGGTAATAATATGATGATTTCAATTAAAAATATGCCTGATTACATACATAGACAGGAACGTTCAAGTACAAGAATGGTTTTTATTCAGTGGCACCTGGCGGGAGCAAAACGAGCCAGGAAGCAACTGACGCGTTGACGTTCTCATTCCATGGATCTGTACATTTGGTCGAGAAGAAGTAAAAATCATTTACATAATAACAGTTATTATTAAAAATAATAATAACTGTTATTATTATTATTATTTAGTAGTTATAGCAGTATTAGTATTGTATTTGATGATATTGTAGTAGAGTAGTAGCAGAATTAAATTGCTGTAGTAGTGGTAGTAGTAGTGGTAGTAGTAGTAATAGTAGTAGTAGTAGTAGTAGTAGTAGTAGTAGCGGTAGTAGTAGCGGTAGTAGTAGCGGTAGTAGTAGTAGCGGTACCAGTATTAGTTAAAGTAGTAATTATAGTAGTAGTAGCAGCAACAGTAGTAGTAATAACGGCATTAAAAGTATTAGTAGTCTATTGAACATTATTTTTACATTTTAGACTTCTTGCATTTTACTTAACGAAAAAATTATAACGACGGTTTTCCGATTGATGATGTTTCAATTAAATATCTAAAAAAAACTTTTTTTCAACTGTGTGTACGTACATTCAGGTTGGAAGAAAAAGCTGATGAAGAGACTGCGAAGTAGAGAAAGATGCACTGGAAATAATGTGTATTAATTTGGAAAAAAAATTGAAAATTAAATAAATTAAATATTTTGACTTTTGTTTAAAATGTTAATCTGTTATTCAGATGATTGTAAAATGAAACTTACATTCGTTTGTTAACTAATCATGTAAAAATATATCCGCGCAATTTAAATTCGCCTGTTTGGGATCAGTTGGGTTTTCAGTTTTTTAATGAATTTTTTAAAAAGTAATTCGTCAATTAAATATATCAAATCAATAAATAAACCAACATGCATGCTATTTTTTTCATAACAGTCTCAAGAAGGATTTAAATAAAATAATTTCAATAGCAGGATTTCAAATCCAACTTTAATATTCAATCAGTATAAAATCTGTCTTACTAACTACCGAATACGTCAGCCATTTTTGCGGCCATTATAAGCAACATTTCAACATTCTATGAAAAATTCCTCTCCCAGTCAACGTTCGAAAATTTTATATATATATATATATATATATATATATATATATATATATATATAATATATATATATATGTATATATAAATATATATATTGATTCAGATATTTGGGTTATATATATATATATATATATATATTATTAATGAAACATTTATAAGCGATAATTAAAATCAAAAAGTTCTCAAAAGCGCTATCTATAGTCAAACTAAGTCAAAAAAAGTGCAGTCAATGGCTGCAGTAACAAACAAATAATTATTCACTTAACAACAAAATCAAAGCGAAAATAAGTAAGTTTTAAGTTTCTTTTTAAAATCATCAAGTTTCAAATCTTTAGTTCTAAAAGATCTCGGTAAGCTTTTCCAAACCATTGGAAAATCTCTTGATGCTATCTCCAGATTGACATCAAGTACAACCAGCAAAATGCCATCATCTGACCTAAGGTTCATACCACTCATCATTATAGACTTTTCTTTTATTTTATCTATCAAATAACTTGGTAACAAGCCATGCACAGTTTTATACATTAAAATACATATTTTATATTTAATTCTTCTCTTTATAGTAAGCCAATGAAGGCCCTTAAGAATTGGAGTAACATGGTGTATATAATATATTATATAATTTATATATAAATTATATATATATATATATATATATATATATATATATATATATATATATGATAAAAATGATAAGGTGGATGATGAGTTAATGGTGCGTGTTAATTTGCTAATAATGATTGTGCCATTAATTTGGTTTATTTTTTCTTTTTGATTTCTTTTTAATTTAAAATTTTTGGTTTAAAAATTTGTCAAAAAAATATCTCCACAAATTTAAGCAAATTTAAATAAATAATCTTTTTAAGCGGATTTGTTAGAGAAATATTTGTCTTGCAGAAAAATTCAAATAATTTTTCTTCTCTCCAAATATTTTTCTGTTGCAAATAAAACATTACTAAATCAATTAAAACAATTACCTCTGCAAACATATCTATGAAATTTTAATTCAAAAAAGGAAAAATAAACATATCAAACTCTACTGCATGCTGTTATAAATACGTTGAAACGTTGTCAAACAGATAAAATGTATTTAACGTTTTGTTTGGCTTTGATTTGCATTTTAGGTGCTTACAATTGTCAGGGTAGTTGGTTTGTTATATGTTGTTTTTCTTGTTAAGTTCTGTCAAGATTTGGTTTATAATATTATTTTGAAAATTTAAAATTAGTAAACAAAATGTTACTTTCAATAACTTACTTGCCAAAAAGACTTTTGAATAATACTACTGCTATACTACGAACAATACTACTACTAATAGTACAACTCTATTCAATTTATTCAATTGAATTTTTTATTCAATTAATTATAACTGATAGTTTCATTGCCTAATTATAACAGATAGTTTAAACCACCTTGAATTAAAATAACTTAAGAAGAAATTTACCAGAAATTTTTTTACATAAATATTCTTAAAAAACGTTCCGGAGTGGTTTATAAAAATCATAAACAAGTCATTCCGTCTACTAACCAAACAAAACAACTTTTCTGTTTCCTTAACCGTTCCCAAATATCATTAAAAAAACTTATATTTATAAATTTTTTAAAATAAAGTTTAATTATTTGTTGAACTAAAAATGAAACCCATTTCAGAGCGGAATGCTAAAATATCGGGATAAAAATTATAGCGTCAGGCCTAAGACCGGCACGAAACATTGTGGATTTCACACCGACTTCAATGGAACGAGATACGTCATTCGCGAATGGAATGGTTAGAAAATATAGATTTTTGGAAATTTTTAATAATTTTTTATAACTTTAAGAAAGTTTATCATTGAGTTTTAAATTTCGTCTATGTAACAATGATACCTATTATTTTCAATTCATCACTGTTATTATTAATTCTCATTTTTGTCTCAACACACACACCACACACACACCACAACACACACACCACAACACACACACATAGCTGATAGTTCGTCTCACTAGAATTTGATCCGTATTCGTTTTCGTTTGTTGTCCGTTAAGTGCTGTTAGAACGGGCGACTCGATCAGTCCCTGTAGCTTCTTTCTTCATACTAATTATATTAAGTTCCTCTAAATTTATTTGTAGGAAGAATTCCAATTGCCCGTTGTTGAATATTTATAATCGGATGTCTTTGTTCTATGAGTATTGATTCGACTAGTCGTAAATTATAATGGGTGTGATTGTAATGTAAGATTTCAACATAATGGCCCAAGATTTGTCTAGCAATTTGAGTTTTCTTGTTCATGTGATTTTGATAGCGCTAGTTTGTACGTGCATCGTGAGTCTTCTCGATAACTTGGTCGTCGTCATGCCAATATATTCAGAATTATGGTGCCCACACTCACCAATATTTCATTTGAACAAATATATTAGATGGCTATGATCCATTATCGATTCTGGTTTACTAGTGTAGTTGTTTTTCATCACAAGATATATATATATATATATATATATATATATATATATATATATATATATATATATATATATATAAGATTATTTTGAATTTTAATAAACTAAACGTTCACCAAAAAACTTTAGTGAGAAAAATTGAAAAAACAAACTACAAACATATTAACGCCAAACATTCGGTAGAATTAATAGAATATTGTAAATATATATATATATATATATATATATATATATAATATTTTGTTTGCTTGAAGATTGAAAAACATTTGCAGGTATCTAGTGCATATTTAGCCAATGATTTAAAAATTGTAATTTATAATGAGTAACATTATAAATATTATTATTATTACATTAATTTATTCAATTTTATTATAAAAAGTACGATGCAATGAATCTATCACACTGACGCTACAAACTGAACATAATTCAAACGCTACTGTTACGCTTCTCCTCATCGATCAAGCAGCAACAACGGTTAAATTAAGAATAATTTTTTTTTTAGTTAATTTTGTTCCGTCATTTTTCTATATTATGTATCATTATAACCATGGATATATATATATATATATATATATATATATATATATAAACTTTACAAGCAAATCAATGGTGTCGCTATGGGTTCCCCCCTTGGCGTCCTATTTGCCAGTTTTTACCTAGGACAGCTGGAAAATGAAACATTCAAAAACAATGCAAATTTAAAACCAAATATCTACGCCAGATACGTGGATGATATCTTTGTCTCCTATAACGATCCTGAACAAATCACACAACTTCTTGGTACCTTAAACAAATCAAAACATAGATTTACCATTGAAAATGGAAAAGAACAACGTTTACCTTTCCTCGATGTGTTGGTCACCCGTGGCGAAGAACGATTCAAAACCGCGGTCTATGTCAAAGAAACGAATACAGGAATTTCTTTGAATGGACAAAGTGAATGCACCGAACAATTTAAAGACAGCACAATAAAATCATTTGTAAACCGGGCATTCACACACTCTTCGGATATTGAAAATCGCGACGCTGAATTAAAAAGAGTCACTAACCTGCTTGTAAACAATGGATATAAGACTTACTCTATTGAAAAGATTGTTAAAGGCAAATTACTACACAGCAATAACCTTCCTAGTACCAACAATCAAGATAACGACATCATCTTGTATTACAGAAATCACATGTCAACAGCATACAAGGTAGATGAAGCTATTTTTAAACATATCATCAATGAAAATGTCACACCAACCAACCCAAATAATAAAGTTAAACTCCGAATTTATTACAACAATAAAAAGACGTCTTACCTAATACTGAAAAACAACTGCAGTCCTAGAGATAACTCTGAGTTAAAGTGTAATCACGTAATATATGAATTTAATTGCCCCTTTGACGGCTGTGCACGTCAACATGACTCATATATCGGGTTTACTACTACCTCACTGACTAGAAGGCTTACGATGCATAAACAGAGTGGTGCTATCAAATCTCATTTGGACTCAACATACTCAATCACAATTAGCCGTGAAATCCTCGACAGCAACACCAAAGTAATATACCAGAACAGCAACTACACGCATCTTAAAATTGCAGAAGCAGTTCTAATTGACATCAATAAACCAAAAATAAATATACAACAAAAAATGACAACCTCACTTCCAACCCGGCGCTTAACCAACAACGAAAACAAAGAAGTAATAAAAACTAGCATCGTAAATAGTGATAAGGAAGAATATGATGCTATCGATGAAGAAAAGGAAACCAAAGAAGATGACCAGCCAATAAAGAAATCTGACACCTAAATCGCATCAAAGTTCAATTTTACAAGACCAAAGTTAATTTTTACAACGTCAAAGTTCATCTTGACAAAGTCAATATTTCCCTATATATATAACAAGGAGCACTGATGATGATTCATTCGGAATCGAAATATGGCCTTATTTGCAGCATGAATTCGAAAAAAAAGTTTATTTTGAATTTTAATAAACTAAACGTTCACCAAAAAACTTTAGTGAGAAAAATCGAAAAAACGAACTACAAACATATTAACGCCAAACATTCGGTAGAATTTATAGAATATTGTAAAAATTATGGTCTATTACCAACATATATATATATATATATATATATATATATATATATATATATATATATATATATATATATATATATATCCATTATTATAACATAATTTTGTGTGGATGAAAGTTATTGGATTTTTAATAATAAAAGGGCTATTTTTTTAAATTTGGTTCAATTTCATTGGTGTGTCTGGGTTCTTATTTGAATTTGTTCATTCGAGTTGAGTCTGTACTTATTATTACATGGTTTGAAGCCATCAAGTTATCATTATGTTATTATGTTAAATATTGTGTGATGTGATGTCAAAGGGTTAAATGTGTGTGTGTGTGATGCGTGGATTCGAGTCTATTAAATACTCACGCACACACTATGTGATTGTTATTAAAATTTCTAAAAAATAATTAAAAAAATTTTAACATAAATATTTATCTCAGGTCGCCATATGCATCTACGGTGATAGATACGAGACCCGAATGCTACTGGCGAACGACTTGTACACTGAAGGAAAATCTACATTAGTAATTATCTTACTACTATTACTGATTGTATGATTACATAAAACTTTAGGTCTAATAGCCTAATAGCCCGATCTTGTTTCGCTATGAGCAGGTTCAAATGCAAGATGATACTTCCATGACGCGTACTTTTAATGCGTGTGTTTACGTAAAATAGGCGTGTGAGTGTGTCGTTTAGAAACACTTTAGTAGTAAAATGGGCACGGATATTCAAAAAAATATGCCAATTATATATATATATATATATATATATATATATATACATATATATATATATATATATATATATATTATTGATGAAAATCACAGCATGTTCGGCGTTAGTTAACTTCCAATTTAGCTTTTCGATTTTTCTAACGGTTGATCGTAAATCATTTTCAAGTTTCCTAAGTTCAAAACCAAAATTTTTGTTTATTTTATGTATGATAGAACAGAAAAGCTTTTTTCGGTATTCCTATACCATCTTCGGTGTTCAAATTGATATGTTGTGGTTGTGCCCAGATGCTCAAATGCTTATATATATATATTATACTGTGCCTCTACTACTCTACTTTGTTGATTCCTTGTTTGTTAAAGTGAATCTTTACAATCTTCGACTTTGTTAAACACTTTTATGTGTTTTCATTATCGTTGATTCCTCTGCTTCTAAATTTATTGGCAAGAAGAATTCCAATTGCTCGTTGTTGCATATTTATTATCGCATGTCTTTGTTCTAAGAGTATTGATTCGGCCAGTCGTAAATTATAATGGTTGTTATTGTAATGTAAGATTTCAACGTTGCGGTCCAAGATCTGTCTCGTAATTTTAGCTTTGTGTTTTTCTTTCATGTGATTCTTCAATTATTCTTTCTTTCTTTATATATAAAGATGATTTATGAAAAACCGAAATAAGGCCTTATCTACATGATGAATTTAGAAAACAACAGTTTCTTAAATTTTTATGATGGATATATATATATATATATAATTGATGAAAATATAAGATATGTATATATATATATATAACTTAAAATATTAATTGATAATAATACAAAATAATAATATAATATTTAAATATGTTAATTGATACTAGTCAGGAAGACTTATGTTTTTTGGCGATTTTTATTTCATCCGACTGAAAACGAACCAGACGCCATCAAACGCTTCAACTTTCACCTTTCGTGGATATGAATATTCGATCAAAAAAAGTATCTCATTTTACCTCTCAGTAATATTTATATTGATATATGAATCATTGTAAATTTACTAATTTGTAACACATGAAGAAACATTTACGAAGTTTCATCAACACTTTTTTGAGTGTTTTAAAACTCAAATTTTTTATTTTTATTAAATACCATACAGTTTCCTAATGAGAATACTTTGGCGAACACATCAGCAAGGATCACTGAGAATGTTGAACGACAGTGAATTTATTACGAAGAGTAATTAATAAATATTTATAAATGGCTTGCAAATAAAATATAAAAAAGGTATAATTTTTCTTACGCGGTTGTTTTTCATCCCAACTAGGTTTGATAAAGTGGGGTTATGTTGTTGTCGTTGTGTTCATTTAAGTGTGTTGTATCTTAAATGTGATCAATTTTTCAATCGATGGTGTACTTGTACTGTGTACTGGCCGGTTTTGAATGCAAGCGATCTCCGGCTATAAAATACAATGTGTGTAATGCATGGATTCACGTTTATTAATCTACTATGTGTATTGTATTTGTTGTTGAAACATCTGAAAAGAATATTTAAAAGCTGACCAAACTTCATCGTTCAACTCGTCAAAATTTCGATCATATGCGTCCACAATATTATTCCAATGGACTAAAATATACTCGTACGATGAAAAAGTAACTGTTATGTCTAAATTTAATTTAACTCTTAATTTACCAAGTTTCGTTCCATTCAGTTTAGTTACTAACAACAAAACCAAATATTAAAATTAATGTAACTAAATAATACTTGATAATATTACTTTAAATACCAGAAAAAAAATCAAAATTTGTCCCACATTTGACAGACTCACTCTCAGGTGAGCATGCTATCGAGGCACCTTTCTTGAAGGGCGACCGTGACGTTGTAGAGCTGAGCACGATCTTTTTTCCATGTTGGCAGTTGGAAGCAACAAACTACACTGCAAGCTGCCAGATAATAATATTAATTAGCCTTGTTTATTATTGATCTTTGGATCTATAGCAAAGTGGCTTCGCATGTTGTTTTCTAGCAAATATCTTGAGACTGCTCTAGTGACATTTGATTTACCTAATGTGGCAACTTTGCCGAAGTTAAATTTTCGATGACGTCAATAGATTCTATGGCGTCATAAGAGGAAGATTCACTCACAAAGAAAATTAAAAATCACAATAAAAAACAAGTCAATACGATAAAATTTGTTTCAATGAATGTTATTTATAATATATTATACTTAATCGAGTTTATGTGAGATCTAAAAAATATTGTCACTGAATTTCGCTCGACAAGACAAACAAACCCATTTACAAATCACATTTTATTTGCAACAAAATATCAAAGGAAAAACACTAGCGAACACATGCTTATTAATAGACACGTCGGCCAGTTATTAACGTTCATTTATCACATTATTTTTTTCTGTATAATGTTGCGGTTACGTTTGTTTTGAGAGAACATCGAACTAAGAAGAGCAGTGAGCGGGAGGAGAAAAGAATAGTATTCGTTTGGATAGACTGGACACGTGTTTCGTCCCTACCGGGGACTCATCAGCAGCGCGAATACCTATCAGAATAGTTATCGCAGTTTCTTATAAAGCCCGCACAAATCACATTCCTCATTCTCACTAGCCACTCTAAACCTTAGAAGCAAATCCGTAAGGTATAATAGTTTATCAAGCCAGATTATGCAAAGTGAAAATTGTTACTTAAATAATTTCTTTTAAGCCACTTCTTCATGTTGAAGAATCTTTCATTGAAAGATCCAAAACAATTAAAAATATTCAAGTAGACTACGTACGAATATATCAACATATTTGTAGCCATAATTTGAACATTTTACCTCATACGTGTGTTCGACTTGGCGATTTATCACAACAGTGTGGGTCCTTCCATAAACATTTACTTAGGCAGTTGAAATGAAATGCATGATTGCAATTAAACTCATTCACTTACTTGTTTTCCATAAATTGTCCCCAGCATATCCCGCAAATATAATTTTTGAACATGTGATCAAAGTAAGTGCGTACTGCCTGTTCTCCGCCAATGCAATGCAGAATAAATCCGTGTGGTTATGAATCATTAAGAGCAAGTTTTCTCCGTAAACCGACTTAATGTAATTATCGCATTTAAAGAAAGTTATTTTACAAAATTTTTTGACAAGAGCTTCGTAATAAAAGCCTTGCATACCTTTAACTAGATTGTATTGCTGACAACCTGAAAGAGAACGAATGCCGAACCATTTGTCAATTCCAAACATGCTTCCAGTTTGGATGCCATGAATGACGTTCGCAATATATCCAAATTCAAGTTTTGGAAATTAATATTTATTTTTGTTTTGATTCGCTCTGAACTTCATAAGTGATGGAGAAGTAGTCAGATAAGGAGGTAGAGAGTTCCAGAGAAAAGGACCAGAAAAAGCAAATGCAGATTTAGCAAAAGAGTGTTTAACACGAGTTAAGAAAAAGAAGTGAGAAGTCATTAAGTGATTCAGTCAGATTTGAGTGCAAGATTAGACAAAATTTTAATTAAATTAGTATTTTCTAGAATTCTAGTTTGTCGTTTAACAACTTTTATTTTCCACAGCCTTGCATAAAATTCTAAAGGGTAAATCATAGATAATTAACTCAGCATTTTAGTTTGTCGTTTAATAACTTTTATTATTATTATTAAGATTATTTTCCACCATCTTGCATAAAATTCTAAAGGGTTAAAGCCTTTTCTCAGCTTATGAACTCAACCCTATTTTGTACTTTAGATTTGCTTTTAATTTTTAGGCCGGTGTTTTATTGTTGAATGAACATGCAGCGATAATTGCTACAGAAGGTGTTCGAACAGTTTTTCCAGACAATATTTCCAATTTGCAGTTGACATGGATCCAAAGTTTGAAAAACGAATAGACTTTTCACAAATTGCATTGCATTCACCTCCTCATAAAAATGTTGTTAGTAAAGTAAATACTGAATACTATGTGTTGTAATCTGTAGTGTAGTAGTAGAGAGAGTAGTATGTAGTACTTACATAGTACCTTTTGGTTTTTTTTTTTCGTTTTTTGGTTTTTTTTTTAATTTAAATGGTGAGATGAAGGTTACTTATTAGTTTACTAATTTACTCTATTTAAAATTTTATTTATTTAAAATTTTATATATTTTTTATATACTAGTATAGTATAAGATAAGTTTAGTTTAGTAGTAAGTTTCTTGAGCTAAGCTAAGTAATAAGAATTTTGTAGGTATAAACTATAAGTTTGTAAGATCAAGATGAATGAAAAAAGTCTAATAAATGATGGCTAATCTAATCTGTTCCTAATCTTAATCTCTAATTAGCACGCACATTCTTACACAAACACGCACACACACACAAATTATATTATAGATACATATATTTTTTAGTTGTATTTTTTAATACATATATTTTTTTAATCTATTACAACTGCTAATCTAATTCTAATTGGTTTTTTAATGATTTTTTTTTTTTTTATTCCAAAAACTTTATTCAGATCACCTTAACTAGATCACCTTTATTTAGATCACCTAACTTAATAACTAAAAACCATTTGCAAATAAAATCAAATTACAAACAAAAGCTGAAAACAAAATCAAATCAAGAATTCTCAAAATCAACCACACCGCAAATGTCCAAAGCAAAAATTATCCCAAACCAACAGAGAAATACAAACAAGTTATAACAAAATATTATATATATAAAAAAAACATACAAAAAACACTACTATGAACTTTCAAAAATTGATCTCCTAACTATCTTTTTAAAAGAGGCGATGGATGTTACCTTTAGATTATGAAATCCAAGTTCATTCCACATTTTAATACCTTTTATCAACAAGGATTTATCATTTAATCCAGATCTGCTTTTAGGTATTTTCAACATATTGTTCTTTCTTGTCATTGATGTAATTTTATCAAATACGAAAAAAGTTTGATGATACTGGATCCTATAAATAAAAATTAAAGTTACAAATTTATTGATCTGTTCAATGTTGAAAAAACCATGTTCTCTAAAATTAAAATCGGTATGGTCATAAAACTTAAGTGAGAAACAAATTCTTAGTAAACGTTTCTGTGCTATCTGCAATTTATTATTTAAATATTTACAGGAGCAACCCCAAAACAGATTTTCATAGATGAGATATGGATAAAAAAAATAATAAATGGTAATCATTGACTTATGTTCAAGTTTGTCCTGAGGTTTATGTAACACATTGATCACTCTTTGCAATTTACTAAGTACAATATTAATATGTTCATTCCATTTCATTTCTACTTTACTTACCAGTTGCCTAGATTAAAATTAAAATTAGTTAATTAACATTTAATTAATTGCAAGATGTGATCCGAAATTTAGAAAGATACTACTTATACAAACCTTTTGCTATCAACCAACCAAGCAAAGTAGAATTCATTTTCAAAGCTAGTAAATAAAATATGTTGATTAATAAACCACGATGTTGGTGTTTTAATTTGTAAGGATGATTACTAATGATTGTTATTTGATATATCTGCTTTTTAATATTAAGGTTACAAGGACTAAGAAGCTGAAACTAGCTTTCTCTCATGCTCTCTCTCTCTCTCTCTCTCTCTCTCTCTCTCTCTCTCTCTCCCTCTCCCTCTTTAATGAATTGCTAACTGTAAAGTTTTAGTATCAAATTGGTTGCATTCAACTTTCAGAAATGAAATTTTTGATAATAAAACTTTTTATTAGGTAATAATAATGTAAATAAATAATTAATATATAAATCTTAAGACAAATTTTTGTCTGTTTCAAAGTATAATTTTTCAAACTTTCCAATGTTATTAGAGTAGCAAGTTGAAATCTTTCTGATAGGGTTTACTTTTTTGCAACAAACTTTGATAGGGTACATTTAATCAAAAGATGATTTAGAAGATGAAGCTACAAATTATTTACTCTAGTTTAGCACCTGAACAGTGTTCATGCCAATGCCACCTTTTTATTTATATTATATTTTCAAAATGTAATATTTTTTTACACAATAAGTTTTACTTTTCTTGAAATTTGTAGAGTTGTGACTACAGTGACAGGTTCATCCCAGTCCGCAAATCTCATTCACTCTGGCACATACACGATGCTAAAGTTGGTTTGTATTAATATGTTTCCACTATATTGTAAATTAGTGAGGTCCCGATATATTTTTCCATTTTTTCTCTTAATTATTTTATTCAGTTTGCACAATTTTAACCGTATTTTTTGATACAGAGCTAAGTTTTTTCCATTCTAGTCTTTTTAAGTTTTTCGGATTTTATTGTTTTTATAGAATAAATAAAAAATTTTGATTTCTTAGTGACAATTCATTAGGACATTTTATTACAGAATTAAGAAATGGCCTCATTATGTACTTAAATGTTGTTACCTTGTGAAGTGCAAACAACAAATTGAATCAGATTAGATTAAATATTCAAGTTAGGCAATTTGTTTCGACAGGTTTTTGTAAATTCCGCAGTTGATTCTGTCAATAATCAAAGGGATGACAGAACGACCTACTCAAAACTGCTAAAGAGTGAATTGTTAGGAGCCTCCTTTGATAACAGACAGAAATATCATGCATATGCCACAATGATGTCAGCATCTGCATCGTGCAGCTCACTCTGTAGTGAATCTAAAAATTTGTTTCAGGTTCACTTTTTGTTTCTTCTAATGGTAATATGTCATCTGCCCAACGTTTTTACATCAATTAACTTGGTTAAATATATTAGAACTAAGTAATGCATTTCAGCATTTGAAAGTTTTTCTTTTATAAACGAGATATGAACCTAAATTGTTAAGAGGCTTTATTAATTATTTTGTGATGTGATTGTAGCAAAAATTGTCAACAGTATCGAGTCAATACAGCATCAGCTGCCGATTCGTCGCCATACTCTTTGTCACCAGTCACTCAAAAAAGTCAAAGATTACTGCATTCTCCTCGCAAGGTTATTTTTTTCTCAATTTCATTGTCCCCCGTTGTGATATTATTTATTATTCCATTGAATTTTGTATGCCAATTGATATACTTTTGAAATTTTTCATTCAAATTACGCCTTAATTTAATTGTATATTCTTATAACGGCTTTCAAGTTTTTTCAATCAGTTTCTGCTGTTGCGTCAAGTTTGTTGTTCAATTTAAAAAGACAGATTATATTGGATACAATTCTAAAATAATAGGAATAGAAAATTAAATATCCTGAAATTGGCAAATGATGATTTAATTGATGATTAATTATTTTTGGATTAATAAATAAATTAAAACATGACGACGGAGAATCATCATTTGAAAACTTGCATTTATGCACATGCATGCAAGTGACAGAATGAATGAATAATTTGTTGATACATTGCCAGCAATCTCGCAAGGTACCTCGTCACCCGTACAAAATTCTCGATGCACCCGACTTGCAAGATGACTTTTATTTGAATCTTCTTGACTGGTCGGCTCAGAACATGATCGCTGTCGGACTTGAGTCCAAAGTTTACATCTGGAATGCTGCATCTTGTGAGGTCTGTTTGCTCTGTGTCATTGTTGTGTACATGATTTGCGTCTGTGTGTTTGTATATGTATTTGTGTGTGCGTGTTTTTGTGTGTTTGTCTGTGTTAGTAGGTTTGGGTTGTATATGTGTGTGCCTGTTTATATTTGTTTCTGCGTGTCTTATTTAAGTTTGGATTATGAATGTTTTTCTGTAGGGACGTTTAAATGTCCTTTTGTTGCTTGTTCAACTAGAATTTTGGGGAAAACGAAATACCAACATCGCTTAAGGATATACATATTTATTTTTATTTATTCTAATATAAAAAATTTAGGTGTTCATGTGTTCTGATGTATCATCTGTCAGAGATGATATCGTAACTTCAGTTTCATTCAATGAAAAGGTTGGTCATTCCAGTTTTCTAAAATTTCTTGAAGTATGCATGTGTTGATGTGGCTGTGGTGGCGGTAACTTAAGACCAGCTTTTCTCTTTGTAACAATTTGTTCTTATTACTCTTTCAATGCATAAATCCTCACAGGATGTGTAATATAAGGTGATGTAGCTAAATGCTGATGGTAATGCTGATCTAAAACATAAACAGGGCAATTTGCTAGCCATGGGCACAGACATGGGGCACGTTCATTTATGGGACGTTCAGTCAAACAAAAACTTGTCAAGTATCTCAATGCATGGCGAAAGAATCGGTGGGTGTTTTATTTTGCTTCGCATTCTTCATCACTCTTCTTGTTTTTCACTATATGCTAGATCATTTATTTTCCAATTTAGTTTGTGAATGAAAATGAAAATAATCATTTAATCATCAAACAATCATCACAGAAAAAATTTTTTTATTTCAGTTTCTCAATTGAATTTGTATCCTTCTTAATAGACATTTATTCAGAACATTTAAAATAATTTTTCAGTAGCTAATTTGTATGGCTGATGTTTTAATGTGGTGCCATTGTTGTAGGATCACTGGCGTGGAACAAGGACATGCTGGCTTCAGGCAGCAAGGATGGCAGCATCGCTATCATGGACACGAAAACCTCAAGTCTCCAGAAGAAACTTCTTGGTCATAAACAAGAGGTGCTTACATCTCTTTCTTTTTGGTGCTCAGATTGTTGTCTCCATCCATGTTGTTGGTGTTGTTGTTTGTATTGTGGTTCACGTTTTTAGGATTAGCTGTTTGGGTGCCATGTTGGACAATGTAAATAATTTATGCTGTGGCTGTTCTTAATCATTTTGTTAATTTTTATTAAAATTTGTATTTTAAATAAATTTTATTTTGTTTGGTTACATTTGTTTTTTTGGGGAATTATAATACATACATACGTACGTATTGTACATACTTACATGCATACATACAAACTTTGATTGATGCTGATATTTTTTAGTTTTTCTTTCTTTCCTTTCCGTTTATATTGTCAGTATATAAATTTCACAGTTATTTTTTCTATGCATTCTATTTTAGTTAGGGCCCTGATACAAGTACATGTTTACTTTTTGTACTTGTGAATAAGGAAAATGAAATAAATACATACGTATGTACAATTGTACATACACACAATACATACACACAGAAATGCGTACGCAAATACATACGTAATAAATTGATTTTTTTGTAGACTTATTTAGATAGTTTATTTCACTAAAAACTGAAGGTTTGTGGGTTGAAGTGGTCAACGGCCAGCAGCAACCAATTAGCATCAGGAAGCAACGACAACAAAGTGATGATCTGGGCTCCGTTATCAAGCTCCCATCAACCGACCGCAATGTACGACAAGCACACAGCTGCCGTGAAAGCTCTTGCCTGGTCCCCCCACCAACATGGTTTGCTGGCCACTGGAGGGGGAACAGCTGATCGGAGAATCAGGTTCTGGAACACGTTGCAAGCAGGCAAGGAGGAACTGCAATGTTACGATACTGGCTCGCAGATATGTGCAATGGCCTGGTCCAAGCTCACCAATGAGTTGGTTGGTCGGGATGCTAATGTTAAAATGTTTGCAAGTATTATCGTGTGTATGTGCTTACCTTATGAAATATATGCTAAAGCGTGCAACCATGTGCAAATGCAAAAAGTTCAAAAGTGAAAATTTGGTTCATTTAACACTCGAAATGTTAATAAACATCGCACAAACAAATCATTCGTCACACAATCCAACTTCACAAACCTTGCTTGCACAATAACAATATAAACATATAAAAATCTAAATTGGCTGGCCCATTGTTCTGAGAAAGATAATTCACTAGTACTGTCACTTTCTAGCATGGAACCTAATGCCATCACATTCACCATCTGGGGCCAAATAAACTCAATAATTAATCATCAGTTCTTTATAACCATCAGTTCTTCATATCCAATGCAATGTGTTAGAATAGAAACCACAAAACTAGGATAGTGCAAAATAGAGGATTTTATAGCAAAATGACATTTTGCTGTTTAGGAGATGTGCTGATGCTGAGCTGGGAAGGTGATGCAGATGAATAGATGGCATGGGCCATAGCCTGAACAAATCCGCTGCTTCTAAAGCATGGTCTTATTATTAATTAGCAATATGTGTATATGACAGTCCCAACCGTAATTAACTAAGCAAAGCTGAAAATACTGTGATATCTTTTAATAATTGTGTGCATCATTGCGACAGTTTCAACTCTTATTATATACATTATATTATATATATTTATATATAATATATATATCATAGAATATATATATATATATAATGTATATCAATCTATCAATCTTCGTTTTGCGTCCAGAGACCTGGTTCCCGAGGTAGGACGTTGTTTTCTTTGCCATCAACTTTTTGCGCCAAATTAGACGATCAATTATATCCATTTCATTTAAATTTAGAGTTTTCATGTCTTGCTCGATTGTTTGCGACCAGGACTTCTTTGGACGGATTTTGGGACGTGTGCCAGGTACTTCAACATCTGCAAGAGAAGTTATGGCACT